CACTGGAGATGGTGCTGGGCTCACCTTGAGCGTCTTTCCTATGCAAACCAACCAGTCCAGAGCCACCCCATCACCCCTGGAGCTCTCACACTCAGCCACCTTCCCCTGCCCTAGTCGCCCCAGGGCCAGGCAGCAGAAAACTAGGGATACCCCTGCACCCCACTCCAGCCCCGGCCCCCCCAAACCTACCCGCCTGGCTCCGTCCTTGGAAACCACAACCAAGGCTCTGGCCTGTATTTTCCCGTCACCCCCTTGGCCTGCCGTATGGTGTGGCTTCCCCTGTGGTCCCACATGCCGTCCGTGGGCATAGACTTCCTCCTCATGCCAGTCATTCCCGTGTCCGGGTCCACGTGCCTCACAGGGGCTTCCCACACGTCCTCCCTCCTGCGATGGTGCAAGGCCCTGTGAGGGCCCCTAACCGCCCTGCTTCCTGGTGAGGACCCCAAGGCTCAGGGGGCGAGGGTTCCCCTCCAGGCCACACAGCGGGTGGAGGCAGGGATGGGATCGGGCCTCAGCCTCAGGGCTCCCTCCCCTCCGCGCAGGCCTCTCATCCGGGAAGTGGGGTGAGCCGCCCTAGCTTCCCAGGGGGCCTGGAGGCATCGAGTGTAAATCGCTTACCACAGGGCCTGGCACAGGTTCTTGCTCCTGGCAGAGCAGCCAAAACCAGATTCTGCAGGCCCAGCCCATGCCCCGGGCTCCCGTCACCCCGCCCTGGCCCTCGGCGGCACCGGCTGCAGATCTGTTCCTCTTCTTGCTCAGGCTACACACAGAACCCCCCTCTGCCGGCATTCAGGCCGCGTCCCCGTGTGCCGGGCTGTGTGACGCCATTGCCCCCACCTGCGTCCAGACGCAGCAGCCGCCCCATCCCATATGAGTCTAGACCACGCGCCTTCCCCGTCTGCTCCGGCGAAGCCCCAGGCGCTGGCAAGTGGTAAACACAGAGCTGTCAGAGCCGCACTAGACACGCCAGCAGCGATGGTTCGCCTCCTCTGCCCCACCCTCTGCCGTGTTCTGCGCGGGGACCCGGCGGTGATGGGCATTTGCCTGATTGCAGCCGCGGCTTGGAGAGTGCGGTGCTCTGTCACTGTAGCTCCGCAGGCACGGGTTACGGGGCGCTGGTGCTCCGCAGGCACGGGTTACGGGTTACGGGGCGCTGGTGCAGACCTGGTTGAATGTAAAGATGACGCGGCCCGGGGCAGCGCCTCCTGCTGGACGGGAGGTGGTGTTAGCGATGAAGCATCGGAGCCTTCGGAGGGGCATTGACCTTGAAGTGCACAGAGCAGAGGTTTCCCTGCGTGTCCTTCGGGCCCGAATGCCGCGCGGGACCTCCGTGGGGTGCGCGGCCAATGGAGGTTAAACCGTGTGCCGCCTCTAGTGCTGCCGGCTCGTACCTCGTGTCTGGGTTCCACCAAGAAGTCCCGGGGGGCAAAGGCCCAGCCTGATAACGGCCGACGGGAGTGGGGCGTTGTGGGAAGGCGGCCTGAGCTGCACCCCGAATGCGTGGCAGGGGCGGGGCTGTTTCCTGGGGACGCGATGCTTCCCCGAGGTCCGAGGTCCGAGCTCAGCGCCC